TGAAAAAGGTGGAGAGGACTTGAGAAGCCCTGGCCGCAGGCAGGCAGACAGTGTGGGCATCACCTCAGGGCAGCTGGGAATAGACGCGAGGCCTGGGCTGGGCTCAGCTCTGAGGGTCAGTCCCCCTCTGGGCCTCAGTTTCTCCATCATGCAAATGAAGGAGTCAGCAGAATCGGTGATTTTTTGTTTTGTTTTGTTAAGCAGTAGGACCCTGTTTTCAAGTGGATTCTCCCTCAGACTATCCATCTGGGAATCAGACAGAAATGGGATTGCAGAAATAGGACCATGGGCTGTGGAGGAACCACCTGAAAACCAGCAAAGGATCATGGGGGAAGCCTTCCTACCTGGCCCAAGCACAGCACGCCAACTCCTCCAGGCACCAGGCGAAACCAACCAAAGCCTCACGGCTGACTGAGGCCAGGGGTGCAGATACCTGGTGGTCAGCAGCCTACAGGGAGGGAAGGGGGGAAGCCCGAAGCTCTGAATCAGGCCAGAGCTTGTGGGAGCAGCAGGGGACCAGGGGTGTCATCTCCCCCCCAAAAAATGTTACCCCACCACAAAGCAGCCTTCTCTGCCAGCCCTGGGGCAACTTCTGCCCGCCGCCCCCCCACGCCAGACTAGAGGGACCTTTCGCTTGATGATCTCAAGGCTTTCATGCTTCCTTCCAGAGCCAAGGAAGAGAGAGGAAACTGGTTCAGTTCCGCCTGGGGATGGGCTAGGCAGCACTGTCCATGCCTCAAGCCTGAACCCTGGTCACTGGAGGCCAGGAGGGGCAGTGGCGAGGCCAGAACAAGAAGGCTACAGTGAACACTGCCGCCCCAGAAGCAGGGAGCTCAGCCCCGGCCCAGGGGAGTCCCAGGTCAGCAGTGTGGCAGGGGCTGTGAGGGCACTCAGGGCCACCTAGGGGAAGCCCTCTTGTAAAGGTGGAGGACCCGAGAGCCAGTGAGGGCACCCACTGGCCTAATGACAGTGACAGAGCCAGACCTGGGGCCTAGGTCTCTTGGATGCTCGTTTCAAGAACTCTCTGCTTGAGTGGTGTTGGGTGACACTCAGCAGGGACCTCCCAGGGAAAAGCCCCCCTCTGCCTGCCCCCCCACCACCTGCACACTCAGAACAGGATATTTTGGTGGCATTGGGTGGTGACAAGGCAGAGATGTTTGTTTTGGTTTCTAAATCAATGCTTGACAACCCTCGGCTGTGTTACAGCTTCAGTGGCCACACTGCCCACGTGATAATGGGCTCAGGGCTCAGCTGGTTGGACTTAGGGAAAGCCATAGCAATGGTGGAGGGCCAGGTCCAGGCACCCCAGTCAGGGACTTTGGGCGGTACTTCCCAAATGTGGTTCATGGGAGCACATGGGGTGATGACTTTATAAACTTAAAGTACACTAAGGAGGTGAACAGTTAACCGAAAATAGTCCACACAATGGACTATTATTCAGCACTTACAAAAGAGCAGCATAGCGTACTGCTAGACAATTTGCCGCTTCGGAAACCCTACGGGGCAGTTCTCCTGTGCGTAGAAAGTCGAGAGGAGTCGGAATCAACAGCACTAGGTTTTGTTCTTTCTTAACTGGTGCATACACTCTACAACTCGGACGAACCTCCAAACCCTTATTGTCGTGTAATAAGCCAGACACAAAAGACTGCTTATTGTATGACTCCATTTATGAGGCATGTTCAGAATAAGGAGATCAATGGAGCCAAGTTCACGGTTACCGAGGCCTGGGGTGGGAACAGAGAACGACAAACGGCAAACAGGCAGGAGAGATCTTGGAGGGGCGATGCAAGCACTCTAAACACAGATGGTGACAATGGCTGTACAACTCGGGGAGTTCATGAACATCACCGAATGGTATGTCTAAAACAATCCATTTTTAAGATGTGCAATCCTACTTCAGCAAGCCCATTGAACTAAGAACGGACCTCACAACAGTACAGGAAGGAGCCCTGCTACCTGAAAGGTTGGAGGTTCAAGTCCACCAGCCACTCTACAGGGGAACATGGTGACCGTGTGCTTCTGTAAAGACTGCAGCCTTGCAAACCCCACAGGGCAGTCCTGCAGGCTCTCTGGGAGGCAGAATGCACTCATTGACAGTGGATCTTGTCTTTGTTTTCAGTAGCACGGGTGGTAGTTCATGGTTATGGCACACACACAAAAAATCAAGGGAGTAGAACTCAGAACCCTCCAGCTTGATGAACTACACTTCCCAGGTTCCCCTTTGAGAAAAGCACATGGTCACAGGTCCCTCGGGTGGATCTGTGGAGACCCTGGCTCTTTCCTTCCCTTGCACAGGGCCCTTCCATTGGTTACTGCTTGGGGTGCTAGGCAAGGTACGTGGAAGGATCTGAAGACTCGGGTGGCCAGCCCGTCTGACAAGCACCTGAGTCTCATCCCAGGGCTTGTGATTTCTCCTGTGAATGGGAGGTAGGGGTGAACATACAGCCCAAACTGGGCTCACCTAACTCCATAGTCCTCTAAGCATGTTTTCAAGTTGACCCTATACTCGCTGTACCCCCACCACCCACAACAGTTCTAATGAGAAACAAGCAAGTAGAAGTCCTAACATATGACAATTACCTCTTTTAAATTCAATCCGTGACCTTGATGAGGCTACTTTGATCCACTGACACGGAGAAGCACGATGACATCTCCTGTCGTTTCTCTCCAGTCTCACACAGAGAAATAGCTACAAATGAGCCTCGTGTTTAAGCTGCTTACTTTGCAACCTCTGCAGACAAAGAGAGCGAAGCAGAGGCTTCACTCCAGCCAACTATCAGCAAGAGATGGCGTTGGTGGTGGGCTCCAGCGAGTTAGTGTTCAAACAAAAGCTCAAAGTCACTGCCATGGGCTCAATTCCAACTCATAGCAACCCTATAGGACAGGGTAGACCTGCCCCTGAGGGTTTCCGAGACTCTAACTCTTCATGGGAGTACAATGCCTCATGGGTCTCCCACGGAGTGGCTCGTAGTTTTGAACTGCTGACCTTTCAGTTAGCATCCCTGCCAGAGCTCCAGGGAGTTAACATTAGGAACTTAAATGTTAGCAAGCACACTTTTATGAATGTATTCAGATTACACTATACAAATATTTTTAAGTAATAATTTTATTAACCATTCAGGAAACCACCACCCCCAACAGCATCCAGAGGAAGCCTGAGAGTACAAGGAACAAAAAGGCTGTAGGCCACCCACCTCACCTGACAGGTAGGGAAACAGGCTCAGAGAAGTGGCTACATTTACTTTGAAAACTATCAACCAGCGTTCTGAATGGCCTCCAGAAAAGATGTCTCTCTCCAATTCACAAAGACCTGGAGAAAGGTGTGTACCCACCTCCCAGCAGAGTGGGAAGAGTGACGCCCACCTCCACCTGTCTCAGCAGCACGGGCTCATTCCATGCCCGTGCCAGAAGCTGACATCACACCCCACACCCTGGGTGCAACTTCAATGAGCATTACTCAATGCCAACCCATCTCCTTCTAAGACAGGGCATGGTTTTTCCATCTCCTAGGTTGCCAGGTCCCAAAAGCACACACTCAATGAAACCAAACACAACACAAACCTGGGGCATGACGACACCACCAACAGTGGTGGACAGGAGGGCCCAGCCCAGTCCTGCTGAGTTTCACCATCAAGATCAAGTGCCTGCTTCCCTAGCCAGTCCCAACAAGGCTGCCCACGAAGGATAGAAATATTGCCTCCCCTTGGTGGGCCACCAGAACATCCTAAAGTCTTCAAGACACAGCATCTCTAGGAGAGGAGCTCAACTCCCAATAGGACCCAAGATTCACCGATCACAGAAAATCAGAGACCCCAGCCTCAGGGTATTTCTGCTCCCTGCTCACTTGCCAGCAAGCCTGTCATCTAATACCATCAGCTTTGTACTGTATACCTTCCAAAGAGCATCCCCATCAACCATCCAACTGTCCTCTCACCCAGCTCGGAGGTGGGGTGGGGTGTTATTTCTACTTCTCTGGTGGGGAAACAGGCTTCGAAGCGGTTCAACAATCTCACTGGCATTTGAACCCTGCCCAGCAGGAAGGAAAAGAAGAGTAATGCCCAGTTCCCCAGACAGACCTCCGTGCCCTTTAACAACCCACTGCTCACTCGAGCATCACGGCTCAGGGATGGAAGGAAAAGTCTCTCAGCCCTGGAATCCGATCCAGGGGACCCTGATCTGTGTAATTAATGCCAACCCATCAAGGGCACAAGGCCCTTCCCCCACACAGGTCTGAGCTGTTGCAGACAGGCCCCCTCCTCTTAGCGGAAAGCTGAGCAGGCAGTCCTGCCAGCCAGGCTGCAAGCAGCAAAGTCTATCCTCTTCCCAGCTGGGGAATCTGAGCTGGGGCAAGAATGGGGCCCGCCTGGACGGTCCCGAAGTGGTGGTCTAAGTCCATCCAATGCTTCCTGCTTCAGCCCAAGGTTATCTTCTCCAGGGGCCGTTAGGCTGAGTTTCGTGGCGCTCAATAAACGTGAGATGGGGGCGACGAACGGAGGCCTTTTTAAAAAACGACCTAGGCTGGGAGGAAGAAGAGCCAGGATGGGTTACCACGACGGGTCAAATTCTGCTTTCACCACTTACAAGAGAAGCTACTTTAGGCAAGCCGCTTCACATCTCCATGCATCCGTCACCTCATCTGCCAACCGGAGTGATGGCCTTCGGGTCTGCATTGTCCTGAAGATTAAATGCGATCACACACTCGTACAACACCGAGGGTTATTTTGTCACCTGGAAACCAATGTGCTTGGACCACGGACGGCGCTGAGGCGTCCCCCCACAGTAGTCAGCGTTCACCCTACCCCACCCCCACCCCGTTCTGGATTTTTTTTTTCCGTTCTTGGATCTTGATAACTAAGTCTTCCATGCGTGCTGCGCTCATAGCTCACTCCGCTAACAGCTTCCAGGACACCTGCTGGGTCCAGCAGGCAGCTCGTCGCAGCCAGGACCAGCAAGCTCCCTCCCTGGGTGCGAAGGGGGGAAGGGGGGCGACCCCCACTCACCTCCGCTTGTATTCATCCCGCTCGCGCTTCACCTTGGCCAGCACGTTGTAGAGCGCGCGGATCTCGGGGGTAATAGTGTCAATCTGCACGCCCACGCCATCGGGGTGCACCCAAGACACGCCGGGCCCCTGCACGGTCTCCACGCCGCCGCCGCCCGTCCGGCGCACCTGAGTGTAGCTCCAGATGGTCCCGGGCAGGCGGCCGTAGTGCTGCGGGTGCGAGCCACCGCCGGGAGGCAGGCCGCCCAGGGCCACGGTGTTGGCATTGACACCGGCCGCTGCGCCGCTGCCCGGCCCGCCGCCCGCCGCCGCCGGTCGCAGCAGCTCCGGCCCGGTCTGCACGGCCTGCTCGCGGGAGAAGGTCTTATAGCGCAGCCGCCGATCGCGCTCGCTCTGCTGCTGCTCCAGCTGCTTCTCCAACAGCCGGTTGCGCCGCTCCAGCTCGTGCACCTTGGCCAGAAAGCAGCGGAAGCGCACGTTGAGCCCCTTCAGGAGGTGGATGTTGGAACCCAGGTCGTCCCGCAGCGCCGCCGTGACTGGTGACGGCCCCGGCCCGGCCCCTCCGCCACCCCC